GGGCTTCATAGTCAACAGTAGGGAGATAGAAGCTAATCTGAAAAAGGTTAAAGCAGTAATGGATATGTAGCCACCTTCCAACACAAGGGAAGTACGATGACTAACAGGGAGAATAGCTGCACTAAATCGATTTGTGTCCAAATCAAATGACAAATGTCAACTGTTCTTTCAAGTCTTACAGAAGGCTTTCCAATGGGATACCTAATGTATCAAAGCCTTGAAGGACTATCTGAGCTCACCGCATATCCTAGTAAGCTCATTGGAAGGAGAGGTACTCACTCTATACCTCATAGTTTTAGATTTCTCAACTAGTGTAGCATTAGCGAGGGAGAGAGATAGAGCTTAACAGCTACTCTATTACTGCAGTAGAGCTTTGAGGGGAGCAGAGAATAGATATTCAAAGATAGAGAAACAAGTCTTGGGCTTGGTTATGACCGCGAGAAGACTCAGGCCATACTTTCAGGCCTATACTATTGAGGTCCCAACAGATCAACTGATGAAACAAGTGTTGCATAAACCAAAATCTTCTAAGAGGTTGGTTAAATGGGCCATTGAGCTTAGTGAATTCGATATCAGATACAAGACAAGGTCAACGATCAAAGGATAGATTCTAGCAGATTTCATTACAAAATTCAAGTCAGAAGCACATGCGGAGGCAACACAGCTTGTCTCCGACCTCCCTGTGTGGAAGCTTTACGTAGATGGAGTTGCCAACGCTCAAGGGAGTGGTGCTGGTCTGATTCTGACTTCCCCAGATGAAATAGATGTCGAGTACGCTCTTAGGTTTAGGTTTAACGCTTTGAACAATGAAGCAGAATATGAAGTAGTCATTGCTGGGCTAAACCTTGTGTTATCAATGGAGGCAGAACAACTTGAGGTCTGCAGTAACTCCCAGCTCGTGGTAAAAAAAATAGAGGAATCTTATGAGGCCAAGGGCGAGAAAATGGTCATGTACCTTAGAAAGGTACAAGAATTGATTAAGAAATTTTGTGCAAGTTTAGATCAGGCATGTCCCTAGGTCTAAGAATTCACGAGCAGATGCACTCACAAGACCGACAACTGCCTCACAAGAAAACCTGGATAGATTGATACTAGTGGAGCACCTAGCAGAGCCGTCAGTAAGCATCAAGGAGGAGAAAATGCTCCCTGTTCTGGCCTCACCCAACTGGATGGACCCCATCGTAGAATATCTTTAAAATAGAACCTTGCCAACAAACTCGAAGGAAGCTGTAAAATTGAGAATGAGAGCAGCTAGATTCTCTATCTTGTAAGGGAACTTGTATAAGAAAGGATTTTTGGCACCTCTCCTCAAATGCATAGGAAACGAGGATGCTAACTACATACTTAGAGAAATTCATGAAGGAATCTGCAGTAACCACATCGTAGCTTAAGCTCTGATAGGAAAAGCTTTAAGACAGTGATATTACTGGCCCACCATGCTCAAAGATGCTACAGACCTAGTCAAAAAGTGTAAATTCTATCAATTTCACGCCAATATCTCCCATTGCCTGCTAGAGATCCTAACATCAATAGTAAATCCTTGGCCATTCCAGCAATGGGGCTTAGACATTCTTGGTCCCCTTCCCGTAAGTGTGAGGCAGTGCAAGTTTGCCATTATTGGAGTGGACTACTTTACCAAATGGGCAAAGATGGCAACGATCACAGAATAGAAAGTTCAGAATTTCACGTGGAAGTCCTTAATTTGCAGGCTAGGGATTCCCACCACAATCGTCTCTAACAATGGAAAGCAATTCGATAACCCAAAGTTTAAAAAATTTTGTGCTGAGTTACGGATAAAAAATTAATTTTTAGCTTTAGCTCACCCTCAGTCCAATGGACAAGCAAAGGTCACTATCCGAACTATAAAGGCAGCTCTGAAAACTAAATTGGAGGGTCTAAAGGGGAAATAGGTAGAGCACGTCCCAAAAGTGCTATGGGCCTACAGGACAACTATCAGGTCAGCAACTCAAGAGATGCCCCTTGCTTTGGCATTCGGAATCGAAGCGGTGGCGCCCGTGCAAGTAGGAATCCCATCTCCTAGGACAGAGCTCGCAAAGTCAAAACATAATGACGAATCACTTCTGCTGAACCTTGATCTCTTGGATGAAAAGAGGGATAGAGCCCTGCAGCACATTAAGAGCTACCAAAGGAAGACGGCAAGATACTATGACAGGAGGGTCAGGCACAGAAGTTTTAACGTTGGGGACCTAGTACTTAGGAAGCACTTGCCTGCAAGAAAGGACCCCACTCATAAAAAATTGGCCCTAATTGGGAAGGTCCCTGCATTGTCTCAAGAGTGGTTTGGCCAGGAACTACGAGTTACAAATAGAAGAATGCAGAGCATCTTAAGAAGTTTTTCTAGTAAATTTCCTTTTGTAATAAAACAGTTCTCGATAAAATGACATGTTTTGATTCATCCCTGTGTGACTTCTTGGAATAGCTAAAAAGTTAAAGATGAGCTCTTAGCTTATAAATAAAAGATGGGCTCTTCAGCTCATAAATAAAAGATGAGCTCTTCAACTCATAAAGGTAAGATGAGCTTCTCAGCTCATAAATAAAAAATGAGCTCTTTAGCTCATAAAATAAAATGGGCTCTTTAGCTCATAAATAAAAAATGAGCTCTTCAGCTCATAAAGGTAAGATGAGTTTCTCAGCTCATAAAATCACGATGAGTGTCTCAGCTCATAAATAAAAAGTAAGTTCTTCAGCTCATAAAACAAAAGATGAGCTCTTCAGCTCATAAAAGTAAGATGAGCTCTCCAACTCATAAAATTATGGTGAGCTTTTTAGCCCATAAAGAGATGAGCCCTATAGCTCATAAACATGCCACAGAATAAAGAATTAACTCAAAAAATCCGCGGCTCGTAAGCACATATGAAAGAAAAAATGTTCAACAAGTGAAAGGAAATTACAAAACAACATAAGAGGTTTTTTTCTAGAGGAACGAAAAAGAAAAGATGAAGGGTTCTACACTCTCCCAAGTCTCTCCTTCATCTCAGCTATTTCCACCTTTAGTGAGGCGTATGCATCCCAAAGACGCGCACTGTCTTCCCTCAGCTTATCTCTCTCCTTCTCCACCTCCGAAAGCAAATTCATAAGTTTCTGCCCAGCTAAAGAAAACAGTACTACTCCCAAGGGAGATCCAGACGAGGGAGAAGAGGAGCCACTCCTATTACACTTCCTGGAAGATGTACCAGTGTTTTGTCCTCAACCGATTCAGAAGGGAAAGGACAAGGAGAGTCAGGGAAAGAAACAAAGTCCATAGTAGCCGCTGCAATACTAAACAAGAAAAGGTTATCTGATGTCACCAGCTCAGAAAAAGGCATAGGCTCAGCATGGACCATTTGTTCAACCTTCATCATCTCCACCAGGTCCAGATCAGGTACACCTACAAGGCAAAAATTCAATGAGAACCAGCCATCGTGGAACCTAGCTAGTGAAGGTACTCAAAATGCTTACTTGTACAAGAGTAACTCCCCCCAAGAACGAGGAACCCTACATTTTCTGTAGTGCAGCTCAGTGGACCTCCAAGAATCCCCAGAAGTAAAAAAGAAACGCCGAGCCCATCCTTCTAGAGAGGAAGAAAGGTCAAGAATTAGAGACTTCAGTTTAAAACACCTCCACTGAAAACAAGAAAAAGAAGGGAACCTCATCCTCTTCAAGATCAAAAAAATAAAGAAACTCGGCCACTATAGAAAACTTGTTATTGCCCATAAGCGCCAGAAGAGGAAAAAACTAATCATAGTAGCCCATCATTTGGGAGAGAGGTGAGAAGGGCACAAGCCACAGTAAGTCAGGATAAACGAAATAGAGGGGTGAATGGGAAGACGTAGGCCCATCTCTAAAGCTCCTTTGAAGAAGCAAATCCCCCCTGGAGGAAGGTAATTGCAAGGCTCGTTAAGGGAAGGGACTCATAGGGGCAGGTCCAAGTCATGGAAGAACTGCTTCTTGATCCCATCCAAGTCAGAAGATGTCATCGTTGAAGGACTAAGTAGTGAGAATGCCACTTCCATTCGACCCTAAAATAATTTTATTCCTTGAACACAGAAGAAAGGGGTGCAGCCATCAGAAATCCAAAGGGGAGGAAAGTGAAGAACGATAAACCTTCAAGATTCAAGAAAAGACTCAAAGATAAAAAAAAAATCCAAGAATTTATGGAAACTCTGCAAGGACACTGAACGCACAAAAGACTAAGTTGGCGGACCTTTGGGTTTCCAAATTCAGGAGGTAGTTACTCTTTTGGAAAATAGTTGTGCATGAAAAATAAGGCAAGCCAACTCTCAACTCTATCCTCACAATTTTGTTAGCTATGGGAGCCTAGGTCTTATTAGAAAGACCTCTAAGCATAGTTAACATGACCCTATGCTAGCTCGAGCTTAGGGCTCAATGGTTACTAGAGGGAATTCCAACTCTGAAAGGAGGTAGAAATTAATCCTCTTGATAACCTTAACATAGAAAAAGGAGAATTCTTGAGAATTGATGTTGTTCTCAAAAGTAGAGAACTCTTTCTAGTAAACCTCTTGTCACTATGAGGGCGGTCAAGTTTGCCATCCATTGATCCCTTAAAAGCACCAAACAGTGGGAAAGAGCTCTCTAAGGGTAAAACCTCACAGTTCTTTTAACCTCTGTAGCTCCGTAACTCTTTGAAAATTCTTGGCAAGACTACTTCAACAAGAGCCAAGTCCTCCTTGCAAAGGACCACAGTGCAATATATCACTAGCTTTTTAACTTCTTAACCTCATTTGCTTCAGGAGGATTTGAAGGACCCTTCGAAGCAAGGAGAAGCGAGAGGTGTCAAGAGGAATATAGGGCAAAGAGAAGCTATGTGTACAGTAAACAAGGGAATGAAAAGCAAAGTAAAGTAGTGTACATAATAACTCAAAGACAGCAGATGCATCAATAATTCAGAAAAGCAGTGTGCATGGGCATTTCTCAAACAGAAGTTCAAATATAACAATTCAACTTACATTAAAAAAAATCTAGGTTTCTGTATTAAGAACAAGTAGAGAAGAGCCTGGCAGCTTGGCTGTTGATGTTTCCAAAAGAGAAGAGTCTAGCAGCTCAGCTGTAGGAGCTCCTAAAGGAGTAGAGCTTAGTAGATCAATGTTTAAAATTTCAGGGAGCTCAGGAGCAGGTGGGATGGCAAAGCCCTCAACTTTAGCTATTGGCAAAGTCAAATTAGGGTCTTGAGCCATGAGGAAAGCTAAAGTAGAAGGATCTCTAGCTATTAAAGTAGGAGTAGTTCCAGGAGTGAAACTTGTAGAAATGACTGAAGAGGAAGGAAACACCTTGAGCTTGAGCCTCAGCAAGTGGAATAGGCACCCCAACCCCTTCAGGAGCTATTTCAGAAGCAAAAGGGGTCAAGACACTGGCCTCAGCATTAGCTGCCTCAGTCTCTTCCTCAGCTGGGATCTCGAAGTTGAAATTCAAGCCAAGATAGGTCAACTCAGCTTTGTCTTGGAAAGCAAGTCAGCCATTAGCCCACTAAGTAGTGACATCATCAGCCAATTTAGCAATTAGATCATCCTTTTTTTGAGCCGCAGCCCTCTGCACCTCGAGCTCATTCCAAAGAGCATTGCTTGTCTTTACCAAGAGGTCATATTCCCTTTTCATGGCCCTATAGGAGCTCAAGGCCTCAAGACTCTCTTGGCTGGCCATAATCCAGTCATCTATTTTCTGTCTAAGCTCCTCCTTAGTCTCCCTGAGCTCCTCCTCCGTCTTCCCAAGCTCTTCTTTGATGTGTTTGCCCTCACTTTCAATCTTCTATTTCTTAGTCTCTAAGCCTTTATTGAGGGAGGTCTGCCTCTCCACCTACGCTTGCAAGCCCTGGACCTGGGCCTTAAGGTCGATGTTTTCAAAAGATAGCTCAACAACCTTAAGCTCGAAAGCCTTGGAAGCTTTGGCAAGCCTTTCTAAAGCTTGGATCCTTTTCCACAAGCCACTTACATGAATGACCATCTAAGAGCAAAACACAACCCCCAAAAGACTAAAGTTAGCATGAGGGAATGATGTAGGATAAAGAAGAAAGCAAAAGGCCAGAGACTTACAGAAGTAACCCCAAATAGGGCAGTAGAAATGAAAGTTCCTAGGGGCATACTTGCTACCCTCTGGATATCAGATTCTGGAATAATGGAGGCAATGGCCTCTACTGCCCACTTAATGTTATCAATTAGGGAGCCCCCGCTTATCTCACCGTTGGGAAGCTTCCCTTTCTCGCTCTTAACCTTGGGGAGTAACGGAGAGGATTTCTCAGTAGGGCAAGAAGGAGTAGACTCAGGTAGAATGTGAGAGACTATCTCCAAAACTCTCTCAATCTCTACCGAAGAGGGAGAGATCGAAACTATGCTTTGCTTAGAGGTCCCTCCAGAAGATGGGAACCCAGTCTCTTGCGGAAAGGAGGTTTGGACAACCTTCAGGGAGCTCGAAGGAGATGGGAGGTCCACTTGAGGTGGTTGGGGAGAAGAAGAAGGGGCCTCCAACCTGGGTATCTTGCCTGGGGAGGCTGAATCACCCTCGGATCTGACCTCAGTCTTGCGTTTGTTCCCACTCCTAGTTTTCCTTAACAAGGCCACTTTGGCCATGCGATTCTTTGATATGGGCTCCATTGATGAGGAACCTGAGAGTTAAGGACAAATAGATTAAAAGAAAAGGCAGGAGTATGAGGGTAGAAAGAAATAAGAGTTGAGAGCAAAAATATCACCTGACGCTCCTTCAGCCCCAGTAACAGAAATGGGAACAAGGGTTTCAATCCTCACCACTTGAGGGCTAAAGCCTAGTTTTATGAGCTCAAAATGGTCAGTCATAGTGGAATACCTCTCTGATTTCTAATCCCTAAAGGTGAGAAAAACTCTTCTATCCTCAGCTCTTAGCTCAGGACGAATACCTAGAACAACCAAAGAAACGGACTCAGCATCCAATGATAAAAAGAGGAAGGGGGACCTTTTTGGAATTTTAAGCTTACCCAGGTTGTCTAGACCCACCCAAGAGCGTGGAATTGGAAGGGAGTCAATGGCGTCACTGGGATTATATTCCCATGCCTTCCCTAATACAAAGAAGAACTGTTTCTTCTAATTCTTATAAGAGCTGGGCAGGTCAGTGATCAAAGCTGGGATTTTCATCCTCTTGGAAATGTACAGAAAATCATCCGGATTAAACTTGACATTGAAGAATTTCATGAGCAGTGGAATAGAAGGGGTGCCAAGTTTGTTTTTCTTGAAAAAGACTAGAAGACCCACCAAGACCCCCCAAAAGTTAGGAGAAATTTGAGCAGGGCAGACGTAAAAATGCTGGAGGACAGACTTGATGAAGGGGTGCACAGGAAACCTAAGCCCATTCTCGAAAGAAACTAAGAAGAAACAGGTCATCTCTGGGACCACAAAGTCATATCGGGTAAACTCGTCTGGGCACCAGAATTCTACATTCTGGGGAAAACCAAAACGAGCAGCTAGGACCTTCATCTAAGGAAGAGAGACCTCACTACCACCAACGAGCTCTGAAGCTCTGGATACAGCCCTTGCACCCTCAGGGTTGCCTGAGACCCCTACACCACTCGCATTGGCCTTACCTTTGCTAGGGTTTTTAGCCATTAGGGAGGATGAAAAAGGGGGCTCCTTAACATTTTCCTTAATATTGACAGAATTAACACCAAGAAAGCTATCAATCTCCTCACCCAAATCAGAATCCTCTGCCTCAGAAGACCTGTTCCCCATGAGGGAAATAGATGAGCCTGTGGCTTCGGATGAAGCAAACATAGCTGAGCAAGAGTAGAGGAGTCGAAAAGACCTATAAAGAGGAGGAATCTCTGAAAAACACTCCCTAAGGGTCAAGGGGTCAACATAACAATTACCAATAAGAAAAATTCTAACCATAGAGTAAGGGTTGAGAAAGAGAGGAAGACGAGACAAGGAGTAACCCTGATTCCTAAAATAGCCGAACCAAAAAGTCCAGAAATACAATAACCACCTCAAATTCGAGGGATCTAGAGTAAAGGAACAAATGAGGGATGAGAAGCATACCTAATCAGAGATGACAAATCAAAACCCCAGAGCGGAATCAGGAGGCGAGCCTCGTGGAGCCTTTGAAATTGAATCCAGAGGGGAGAAGGCTTAGCAAAACCCTAAGTTTGCTAGTAAGGTGGGAAAGCAAAGAGTGCATAGAAATGGGAATCAAACGCTGAAAGAAGAAGATGAATAGGAAGTTTTTGTTGCCGTGTGAGTATTTAAAGCTCGAAAGACATGGGTCGTAACGTGCACGGGAAATGAGAAAAGGGATGATTGCTAAAAATTGTCAAAAGGCAACTTCCATGCACGAATTTGCCTTAACTCAACTTAACTTAACTTAACTCTAACTTAACTCTAGCTCAGCCCTTGGTCAAACCCACTTTGATCAAGGACTGAGGGGCAACTGATGATACCGAGAAAAAATCCCAAGAATGAGCTAGGGTATGGAGGTCAAACTAGGAGAGCAGTTCAGTTATCCAGAGCTCTTATAGACAGACCTCGAGCTCCCCTCAAATAAAGCAGGAGGAAAATCAAGGAGGAGACAACTGGCGCTCCCAAGAAAGTAGGAAACTATAATCAAGACACAAGACTCTCAACCAACCAAGATTCTCTCCAGAAACCAAGGAAGATCCTATGAGTTAAGGGAAAAAATCTCCTTGTATATCCCTTAGTAATAGGAACATGGCTATAAATACTGTACAATGCCTCCTATGTAGGGGAAGGAACCCTAGTGTTATCAAAGATACTCTGTAAATCGCAGCCAACATTAATACAGATCCAAGGAGCAAGAGACTCCCTTCAAGAGTGGATTACCTAAGCTTCCAAGCCCGGTGAACCACTATATTTCCTCTATGCAAGTTATCCCAATCCCCAAGGATCTTTCCATAGTCTTCACGAGTCTTGTACCTTAGATTAAAACTTGGTTATGTGAGACCTAAGTACACCATCAAGTCTCATCATTAAATGTAGTCCTTATCAATTCATTGGTCATAATACATTATATCCTTGAATTATGACCCTCAATTATGCCTCAATAGCATTAATGATTATGAAAATATTTTGTTCAGTAAAGAAATAAAAAAGTTATGCCTTTAAAGTGGTAAAGAGAATTGTATCATGGTGATAGATTCATACCACTGAGCTCCATAGATATGTGTGAGAATTATAGCTTTGAAGGTTATCCTTGATGATGATTATATGGGTCTCACAAAGACGTAAATTGCTCTACTTAACTAACAAGATTATGGACTTATCTGAATATGGGTGGTTTGGAGGAGAAATCCTCTATATTTCCCCATGCTAAAAAGATTGATGCTCTTTGACCTTGACTCGACGAAGACAACTCTTCCCCCAATTTCATTTTGATAGAGATCAACATAGAGTATTCCTTGGTACAAATATCCACTCAAAGAGAAAGTATAGCAGCTTGTACTGGCAAAATCTTGTAAGTTGCATATTCTGTTATTGGCATGGTCACATGAAACAATGTGCCTTAGTGGTTGAACCAATGAAGCAATAAGAATTTTATATTTGATTTGGAGAACCAACGTAATTTGTAGCCAACAAACATAGATACACATAAGAGTGATACCGAGCTCTATGAATATTGCAAGTGTATCGATGAAGATACACGAATTGCTTTAAAGATTGGTAGGAACTCACGCACAGGCCATACAAAAACTAACACGTATCATCATTCTCACAGACAACACCAAACTGTTGATGCAAAACTGAGGCGACCTCCATAGCTTATCGGACCTCGATCACCTAAAAAAAATCCAAGGAGCTCTTGGGTTTGACCCTCTGATGCTGAAGTCAATAAGAGACTCAAAGGTCAAAGATATTCAATGCTTTAAAAAGCTAAGAATGGCATACATAGGGCACCGGTTGGAGTTGTATTTATAGATGGTAGAGTTGTAATTGTATTGGAGTCCTGCTTGCTAATCCCCATTTTGAATAGGATTATGATATTATCACATCATTTATCCTTATATATAGGACTTGGATTTATCCCATGTGTGTCCTTCACTGTCTGAATTCTATTTGAATTAGGACTCTTACAAGATTGGTTGGATAGATAGTCCAATAGACCAAAATTTATACTAGCTCAATTTTTCCTCCATCACTTCTTAACTCACTTTTTTAGTAAGTGATTTAAGAGGTGCTAAAAAAAATTATGTGGTATGAGTTTTGGT